ATGTGTGCAATAAAAGGGGCTAGAGGCTTGCTTTAAAAATAAATGCTGGAAATTCAGCAAACCTGGTACATGGTACATTGTTATAATGATATTCAATAGTAGCACAGGGGAGGGGACAGCTACTCTCAGGGGACTGGGAAGCTCCACTGCCAGTGCACTGTATCGGAAGCCGCAACAGAAATGGGGAAACTATACAAACCTGTCCCCATGTGGCAAACACCTACGGTTTCCAGACCAATCAAGAAGGCTGTATGGTTTGATATCTGTTCATAGAGCAAATGACCAATGTGATGCAGTAGTTAGCATACTGGACTAGAAATCCCCACTTAGCTATGAAGCTTATTGAATACCATTCTCTCAGCTTCATCTATCCTCACAAAGTTTGTTGTGATGATGAAGAGGGAAGGGGTGCAGCCAAAGCCGCAAAGAAAGTTTTCTATGCGGCGGTGATTGTGTCAGCTAGCTCTTGCCCAGCCCAATTATTTTGGATGATTCGGTCAATAACAGCTCTGCCACAGGGCAGACCAAATGCTAGGGAATTGGACATTGGCTGTGAGGCTTTTGCGAGCTATTTCGCTGATAGTCTTGGTGTCCCGCCGTGCCCTCCCCGCCACACTTGATACAGTGAATGAGCTTGAGGCCCATTGCACATCTTTGGATTCAATCCTGGATCACTTCAGCCCTCTCAGTCTGGAGGAAGTTGACAGTTTACTCGCAGCTGTGTGCCCAACCTCTTTCAGTCTTGACCCATGCTCCTCCTGGCTTATTAAATCTGGCCACGAGGGGTTTTGAGGTGCCCTAAGGGAGATTATCAACAAGTCCCGGGGCACTCAAGGAAGCGATGGTCTGCCCTCTCTTAAAAAAGCCATCTTTAGACCCGGATGAATTGGCTAACTATCAGCCAGTCTCCAATTTGCCCTATCTGGGCAAGTTGATCGAGAGGGCGGTGGTGATACATCTACAGGGTTTTCTAGATGATGCTTCCATGTTAGATCCCTTCCAGTTCGGCTTCCATCTGGGTCATGGGATGGAGACGGTGCTGGTCACTCTGACTGATGACCTCCGGAGGCATCTGGATTGAGGCGGAATGGCGGTACTGTTGTTGTTAAGA